CCAGGAATGCATCCTTAGTATTGCGAAGATACTTGAGGATGTTCTTGACTGCTGTCCAGTGTGCTTCTCCTGGACTTCCCTGGTATCTGCTGGTCACGCTTAAAGCGAATGAGACATCAGGTCTAGTACATATCATGGCGTACATGATGGATCCAATCGCAGAAGCGTATGGAACCTTCATCATGAGTTCCTTCTGCTCAGGAGTAGAAGGACTCTGGCTCTTGGAAAGACCCGTGCCAGGTGTCATAGGTAAAGATCCTTTCTTTGAGTTAGACATGCTAAATCGATCAAGGATTTTATCTATATATGTACTTTGATTCAGACCTATTAACTTTCTTGATCTATCTCGGTAGATTCTTATGCCAAGGACATAACTAGCATCCCCTAAGTCTTTCATGGAGAAGTTCTCGCTCAACCACGTCTTTACAGAAGTGAGAGCGGGAATATCGTTACCCATTAACAATATGTCATCGACATATAAGATTAGGAATACATTAGCATGAGATGTGTAAACATATTATATCTGCCTATACATGATAGAATAACGATAAACAGTTGGCCATCAGGGCACAACTCCAACATATATATATATATATATAGGGATATAGAAATGGGGTTTAGAGAGAGGATCGGATATACAGAGTGTTGGACAATGTGCTATCATGAATATATATTTTTTTGCAATGTCCTTTGCTCATTGTCTTTTAGGTTTTGATAATGACAAAAGGGTGACAAAATATCATCATCATATTGTGCATCAAGGCTAAGAATCAAAGCTACAACAAGTTCATATCTGCCCGTGAAGAAGGGACTTGAGCATCGGTGGAAGGAACGAGACCGAAGAGGTTGTTTCCTTAGTTGGGTAGTGTTTTAGGTCTTAGATTATGTGTTAAGGAGTATGGCATCTCTAAGGTTCATTCCCTTATCATCCTACCTTTAAAACACATTTCTTTCAGCAAACTATTCGAATAAGTTGAAAACTATTTGAATAAATACCTGAACTTCTATTCTGACTTAGTTGAATAAATCCAGAACTAGTTGAATAAGTCAGATTGCAGTTTCACCAAAACTAGTCGACTAAGTCTTGACTTAGTCGAATAGTTCGGCAGTTTCAACTCTTAAACGGCTATTTTTTTTCAAATATTTGTGCAGTTACTCCGTCCTATCCTTATTTAAACTACCCTATCTCGTGTTTTTAGCCAAGAATACATATTGAAAACACTTAAAAACATATCCTTTGAATATCCAAAGAGATTCTACTCAATCCCCTCCTTATATCCAAGCAAGGCAATTGTTTTGATTGCTAAATCATTTCTTGCTTGAGTTTTTCCTCATTGCTTGAGTCTTTGAGAGATATTGCCATATTCTAAAGGACATCATTGTATTTGCAACAATCTACTCCGTATTGGGAGAATTACTTGGTTGCGGTTTGTTTTCTTACTTTATTGTAAGGGATTTGTATTCTTGGTGTTGGGATTACACCAAGTGGTAGAAGTCCTAACGGTTTGTGAAATCAAACGTTAGGTGGAAGAAATCCTGAGTTTTGTGAAATCAAAACTTCGGTGGTAAGATAAGAGGCTTGTGAAATCAAGTTCTCGAGTTGTATTCGGATTGTCAAACTCCGTTAAGTTTGATGGGTTAGTGAAGGCCTGGGCACAATTGCTTCGGGGACTGGATGTAAGCATTTAGGCCGAACCAGTATATATCGTGTGTGCATTTCTCTTATCCTTCACTTTATTTTGTTTGTGGTGCATTGATTTTATTGAATATTTGTGAAGAACGTTTCCGCGCAAAAAAAACTGGTCTTTTGGGCAACACCTCTATTCACCCCCCCTCTAGAGGTGTGCGAGGCGTCTAACAATTGGTATCAGAGCTTGTTGTTTTCCATAGCTTTACCGCAGGAAACAAGGTCATGGCTGGAAGATTATTTCAAGCGGGAATATCCGAAGGACAATCCACTACTCATCCTCCACTCTTTGACGGCACAAACTTTGCATATTGGAAGGAAAGAATGCGGATCTTTGTTCAATCCAATGATTACAAATCATGGATGGTCATCAAGTATGGAGACACATCTCCCTACAAGATCGTTGATGGAGTACGAGTGCCCAAGTTGGAATCCGAGTATGATGAAATGGATAAAAAGAATGTGATGCAAAATTCCAAAGCCATCAACTATCTTTATTGTGCGGTCAATCCGGATGATTACAGAAAGATTTCACGATGCAAAACCGCAAATGAAATGTGGAACAAGCTAGAATTAACTTATGAAGGTACTACTCAAGTGAAGGATGCTAAAGTTGATTTATTGCTTCATGAGTATGAATTATTCTCAATGAAAGAGAATGAATATGTTGATAGTTATTTTGAGAGATTCTCAAATATTATCAATAATCTTGACACACTCGGAAGGCACTACACGGATAATGAGTTAGTTCGGAAAATCTTACGGTGTATGACTCCTGAGTGGAAATCCGAGGTTAGAGCCATTAGTGAAGGAAGGGACTACAACACCTTGACCTATGACACTCTACGGGGAAAGCTACTTACCTATGAATCTTCTACGCTTTATCCTCTGGGAGACAACAAACAAAAGAAGTCCATTGCTCTAAAATCCACCAAGGAGATTGAAGAGGAAAATCAAAATGAAGAGTCAAGTGATGTAGAAGACAATCCCGAACTTGCTCTTGTTATCAAACGCTTCAACAAATTTGTCAAGAAAAATTTCAAGACTAGAAGGGACAAATCAAAGAAGGCAACACCACCCAAATGCTATGAATGTGGTGAATTGGGACATATCAAGCCCTATTGTTTAACATTGAAGCAAGACAAGGACAAGAAGAACAAGAAGCATCGAAAGATTACCATTTATCATGGTTCTAATAGTTGGGGAGGTTATCTCAGGATTCTTGAATCGAGAAGAGAAGGGAACACTTCCATTTTCGTTCCTACGGACAAAGGGGGTTTGGGGTGTTTCTTGAAGGCCATTGATGCTTTCATTGGTTCTTGTTCATTAGGGAACTCTTCTTTTCTTGTGGATTCTCCTAAGGCAGTGCAGGTTTTAGATGTTTCCTCCTCCTCAGGGCAAGGTACTAGACCTCTACCTATGTTGGCAGGGGGTTCTAACAGTCTAGTGGACAAGGAAGAGATTGGTACTCCTCTGCAGCATGAAGATTCTCCAGGTGTAGAGCCAGCTAGAAACTTGCCACTCAGCCACGAAGAGCAACTGCTAATTGATGGGCTGCTTAGCCAAACTCCGAAGATGGAAGCTTCGAATTGGGAGGACTCTATACAACCGGAACTGGATCTCATGCTTATAGATGACAAAGTGGAAGAATAGGCAGGAGGGGATTTTCAAAAACAATATGAGATGCTTAAGCCCATTTTCGAACAACATATTAGCGATGACTTCGAGAACTCCCTTTGGATGATCAAGGAAGCATTACGTTTGCCCTTCATCAAGGAAAAGATCCAAAAGGGGCTTGTTTCAACTCTTCAGGGTAAGGCTTTAAAAGTGACAAGGGAGGCCATGAAGAGTGCGCAATGCATAAGAGCTATTAAGCTGAAAGGTACGCGACATCCAGTTCTCCTAGCCTGCGCCAACATTGATGTACCGATCATAACGCCATTGTGTGAACATCTCATCGACTACGAATAAAAGGGAGGTATACATGGGCTTCTTAACCTATTGTTTTTTCCACTGGATTTCTCTTGGGGAACTAGTCGCTTTTCTTGGGATGTACATTATCTTTTCCGAGAAGGAAGAATTGGTGCAAGGATTTTACTCACCAAGGACAGTTGTGATTTCTGCTGTTCATGTTTTTTTTGGCCTTACAAATGGTTGGTGTCTAGCTTGGAGAGTTACTTATGTTTCATTTAAGGTGCAGATTAGGCTGTTTAGGCAAAGACTGCTCTCTTAGTTGAGGATATTCACCCTTCTTATCTTTGGTGGTCTGATTTCTCCTGGTTGGGATATAATTGTTTAATACTTTGTGATAGGAAGTTATTCTACTTTGAAACAAAGAGGTATTTGGAACTTTGAATTTGCTTTCGGTCCAAGTTCACTAGTACAGGCTGCCAGGATGCATAATGTCACAGATGGTCCTTTTTGCTTGGCTTGGAAACATATGTTGTGCCGCTGGACATTTAAGGATAATAGTGCTGTAATGGTGGACCTACACCATACTCCTGATGCTGATCCAAGAAGAAGCAGCCAAACAATGGTTGTTTTGAATTCTTTGGTTTTCGACCCTTATCCTAGTAGTGGCTTTTGTAGTGATCTTATATATTTGGCCTTTTGTCTTTTGGTTTTTTATTGCTGTGTTCTGGACTTCAGGCTTCTTTGTAAGGGCTCGGCCAACCCCACCTTTGTATTTCCCTTTTACTTCTAATAAAATAAAATATTATTTAATATATATATATATATATATATATATATATATATATATATTTATTTATTTATTTATTTATTTATTTATTTGAAAGGAGATATTTTATTAGAAAGCAGAAAAAAAGTACAAAGAAGGGAGGACTAGGCCAATGCCCCTCTAAAATTGCAAGAAAGGAAAAATCAACTGAAAAAAAAGGGAAATTGAATGAAATCAGAGTGAAAAAGATCATTCCCAGATTATAAAACTCGGGTGTTGATCGAGAGAGAGATTTCTGGGCATTATTTTCTTCGGTCTTTTCCCATCAGTTCCAATTGGTCCAACGGGCCCAACATACCAAAAAGGTCCAGAATAACTTTTGGTAGTAACTATTTTTTCCATAGTAGTAGATTTGCGACTGGGCCAGTATCTCGTGATCTCGCTAACAGTCCCGACTTCGAGATTAGGATCATAGCTTCTGGTTTTGATGGTCCTTGGCAAAGGTTGCTTCTTTTTACTTCTTCTATTCTGGACTTCTTGGAATTCATGAGTTGTGAGGTTTTCATCATTGTGGTTTGACGTTTGTCCTTCCTCAATGCAAGACCTAATTTCATAATGTTGACCTTCATGCTCAAAAGAATGGAGGATCGGTCCAAAGTTGGCAGGGTTGACATCTGAGTTGTTTGGTGTTGTGTTTTCCATTGTTGTATCTTCCGCCATCAGAGTTTGAGTCCCTGTTGTGTCATCCTTTTCTATCTCGGTTGGAGTGAGTAGAGCTGCCTCCATATTCTCGATTGGAGTCTGTACATCCTCCTGCAAATTCCTTGTGAGTACCGGAAATTCATCTAGGTTGATTGCATTTCCTACACAGTTAGCCTTTTGTGCAGTCATACCATCCATGCTATCCTCAATTGATTGTTCATGTGTATGATCCAAATCTGCTTCCTTAGTCATGATTTCCGTTTCATGTTGTACTGCCACAGAACCCTCTTCGGGAACAGGGGTTGGGTGCTCATCATTGGTGTCTTTAGTAGCGTTGAAGTCAAGGCAGTTTGTAATACCTTCAGCTTCTGCTTGCTCATCTACTTGTCTTAAGCCAGCCACATCTTCAGATGGGTACTGCCTACAAGCAGTAACATGAGGTGTATGAGAAGTGGAAGTGTCCATTGGTGCAGGGGTGACCATTGGTGTATTGCTATCCTTTGGAAGTGCCATCATGGGGACGGATGTTTGTTGTTTATCAAGAGTCATCATCATTTCAGCATCACTAAAAGCTTCCTTGGAATCTGTCATTTGGGTATAAGAGGCAAGTTGTTCTACTTTGGTGTTTTGTTGCAGGGGTTGAGGAGCCTTAGGTTGGCTAAGACCTTGGGCATTCATATAGGTTTTCGCATCTCTACGAGTCCATCTAGAGGATCGTACCCCCTCTTTGCAATTTGTGTGTCCAAATTGTTTGCAACATGAACAGAAATGTGGCAGGTCTTCATAAAAAATAGGTTGGAAAAAAGATAGTTTGCCCAGGTGTACCCATATAGCCTTTGGTATCTCTTTAGAGAGGTTGAGTTCGACACAAACCCGAGCCACAGAAGGCCTAGTAAGGTTTTCAGTTGCAGTGTCTGTACGAAATGGTCTCCCTATAAGATTTGCAATTGAGAATAGAGCTGATGAATCAAAAAGATGGATTGGCAGTCCTTCAAGACCAATCCAAACCGGAATAAGTGGTGATTCTGTTGCTGCATCATAATCTGGTGTCCATCTGAAAACCTTCATAATACATCCATATATATATATATATATATATATATATATATATATATATATATATATATATATTAATAAAAAGAGGCTTTATTAAAAGGAGAGAAAAGGAGGAAGTACAAGAAAGAGGGAAAAAAAGGCCTAACTACACCACATTCAAAAGCTTGCTACCATTAATCCAAAATAAATCTAAACCCCAACCCCTGAAGGTGTTATCATGGATTAGCCATTTTTTGCATCGTGAAGCCCAGCACCATGCTTGAATATGTTTAAAACACTGTTGGATGATACCCTCCTTGGTGTGGATATGGCCTTCATGAATTGCTAAGTTCCTTGCCTTCAAGAGGTGCCAAGCGATGACACCGGGCATAATGACTCGTAGAATCCCTTTGAAGGAGAACGTATCACCTGAGAACCACCAACTGATGAAAATTTGGCTAAGTTTGAGGTTGGGAGCTGACATGGGAGCATCGATGAGATTGCCAAAGTACTTCCAGACCTGGTAATCAAACCTGCAATTTCCGAGAGTATGATCTATGGAATCTTCTGCTTGCTTGCATAGCGGACATTGGCTGGGGAGACAGGAGCTGAAGCGCTTCGTTAAATCAGGGAAGGGTAGGCAGCACATGAATGCTTTCCATTGGAAGATGCGGAGTTTAGGAGTTTGGGCCTTATGCCAAATGTACTTGCAGGAAAGTCGGGAAGGTAATACGCCATAGAGAGAAAGGAGGGTATTCTTGGAGGAGAACGGTTTCCCATCCCAAAGTGGGGGATGCACAGAATCAATAACGTGACTGATAGTGAAGGAGTGAACCCGGCAAATTCTCTTCCATGGCGTGGAATCAGTGAGCTTCTCTTTGATTGTGCCCTTGCGCATGTAGATGGCTCGCATGGTGTTAGCCCAGACACCCGTATCATGATTCACCCGCCACCAAAGCTTGATCGATTGGTTCTGTTGAAGTGTTTGAAGATCCTTAATATCCAGCCCACCAGCGCTTGAGGGTTGACAGAGATGTTTCCAGCTCTTCCAGTGGTGTAGTTGGTTGTTGTGCCTTCTTCCCCAAAAGAAATTGGCCATCCTAGTATGAAGAAGATTGATGACTGCCACCGGGAGGGAGTGCACGGCTAGAATATGTAGTGGGATGGACGAGAGAACATGCTTGATGAGAATCAGACGTCCCATTTGGTTCAGTGTTTTGCTATACCACGAGTGAATATGCTTGTCAAAGTGATCCATCAGGCTGCCACAGTGGTGTTTTTTAAGTTTCCCTTTGCAGATGATAGCTCCAAGGTAGGTGAAGGGTAAGGTTCCTAAATGCATGCCCAGGATTTTCTCCATGTTCTGCAGGTGGGTACTGTTTGTGGTTTCTTTGACGTAGAACTTGCTCTTGGCTGAATTAATGACCTGACCAGAATCTGAAGAGTATTCATCCAGCAGCTTCCTGGGTTTGAGTAGATTGATGGAGTCACCTTTAATAAAGATCATTATGTCATCAGCATAGGTGAGGTGCCCTATAAACTTCACACTTCCCATGTTGTAAAGCTGGATATGGGATTCATCCATGCTTCTGTTAAGTAGCCGAGACAAACCTTCACTTGCAATAATGAAAAGAAGAGGCGAAAGAGGGTCGCCTTGCTTGACACCCCTAGTCATGGGAAAGTAGCCCGCAGGTTGCCCGTTAATGAGGACTGAGAGCATACTGCCTTTTAGGTTAGCCATGAGAAGGCTAGTAGCTTTGTTGCTAAAACCGAACCGAAGAAGAACCGCCTCCAGGTAGTCCCACCGTAGGGTGTCAAACGCCTTGGCCATGTCAATTTTAATGATGACGTTTCCTCCAAACGTTTTCCTGTTCAAGTTGTGCAAAGCTTCCATAGCAAGGAGAATGTGGTCAGACATGCACTTCCCTTTTTGAAACGCCGCTTGATTGTTGGAGATAATCTTGGGGAGGATTATTTTTAACCTGCAAGCTAAAATCTTTGTATTAACTTTGCTCATAAAAGTACTCAAAGAAATGGGCCTGTAGTCGTCGAAGCTTTTGGGGCAATCTTTCTTAGGGATTAAAGTAATAAGGGTGCTTCCAAAAGCATGGGGGATGGAGAACCCTAAGAAGAACTCTTGGGAGGCTTTAAGCATATCTTCCTTGATGATATCCCAAGTGGTTCTAAAGAAAACCCCGTTGTAGCTGTCAGGTCCTGAGGCACTGTTGCTGTCCAGATTCCAAATAGCATTTTTGACCTCCTCCAAGGTGGGGAGGGCAGTAAGCATGGTGTTGTCCTCGTCTGAAAGGAGGGAAGGTAAATGGGATAGGTTGTGCAAGGGGGGTGGTTTGGCAGGGGCTAGGAACTGTTTGGAAAAATGGGTTATTGCCGCATCACGAATCTGGGAACTGTCTGAGAGCCCAATACCAGAAGGAGAAATGATATGATTGATAGCAAGCTTCCTTCTCTTGCCATTGGCGAAAGCATGGAAGACCTTGGAATTCATATCCCCATGTTCTAGCCATTTGGCATTTGCTTTTTGCTTCCAAAAGACAACTTCTTTGTGGCTAGCAAGGAGCAACCTGGCGTTAGCTTCCTGGGCTGTTACACGGTTGGCCTCCGTTGGGTTATCTTCGTATAGCTGCTGGGTGGTAGTGGCATAAATTTCAGCATTCTTGAGGTTATCGAAAATATGACCAAACTCATCCTTGTTCCAAGCCTTGAGACAGGATTTGAGACCCTTGAGTTTGGCTACAAGTCCATGCATACCGCCAACAGTAGGCATTTTGGTCCAGCATTCCTTGACAATTGAAATGAAATTTGTGTGGTGGATCCAAGGGTTTAAAAATCTGAAAGCTGATGGGCCTTTATCA